GATGACCGACCTGAGATTCGATGAGATGACCGACGTGAGGTTCGATGAGATGAACAATGTGAAGACGATGACCGATGGGATGACCGACGATGAGATTCGATGATATGAACGATGTGATACCTGACGTCGGTCATGTAATGTGATAACTAATGTCATGACGGACTTGAGGTTCGATATGAAACCAGGTGTAGGGTTCGATGTGATGACCGATGTGATGACCGACGTGAAGATCGATGTGATAACTGATGTGATGACGGACGTGGGGTTCGATATGTAAACAGGTGTAGGGTTCGATGTAATGACCGATGTGATGACCGACGTGAAGATCGATGTGATAACTGATGTGATGTCCGACGTAATGTTGGAATTGATGAGCGTCGTGACAACTGATGTTTTGACCAACGTGATGACGAATCAGATGACGCGACACCCGACAAAAATGACCGATGTGATGACGCGATAGCCGTGCGTGAGTTCAGTTTTACGCCGCTTGTAGCAATATTCCAGCTATATCACGGCGAGGAACACAAGAAATAGGCTTCACACATTGTACCCATGTGGGGAATCAAACCCGGGTCTTCGGTCTGACGAGCGAACGCTTTAACAGCTAGGCTATCCCACCTCCCTATCGACGTGATGAAGTGATGACTGATGTGGATAACAACGTGATGACTGACCCCGAGGTGATGATTACCCAGGTTATCAAGCTATCATTTAATAAAATACAAACGATGGACAACGACTCAAATGCACTGAATACCCTCAACCAAGTGTTGTTTTATTCACCAATGTTTCACAAACACTTTTTTCATATCTTAAATCTAAACTAAAAAGCATGCGGGATTATTCTCCAGCACACTATACAAAATAGAGGACACGCTTGCAAATATACTTTGATGTATGAGAGGTTGGCTTTCTTAACTTTAAAAATATTGCACAACTCAATGCAAAATGTTAATCTTGCCTTTTAACTGAAATGCGCTTGACCTGCTGATCGATACATGTCAATACATGGCAGGCATCAAGAAACTCTCTGATCTACAGGAATAATACGTGCAGGAACATAGTGCGTGTCAGGCTAACCTCTATGACGTCAGTGACGTTTTAAATGCTACTCAGTGAGATTTTGATTCCGATCTACTTTGAACTGTTCAAAGGCCATTTGTATGGAGCGAGTAACTGCGTGAGTGAGTGAGTGAGTGAGATAGGGATCCGCCACTAGGAGGGGTTCAGTTATCTGCGTGCCACCGTGTTCTGGCAGGTAGGTTGGACCAGACAATCCAGTGATCAACAGCATGAGCATCGATCTGCGCAATTGGGAACCGATGAAATGTGTCAACCAAGACAGCGAGCCCGACCACCCGATCCCATCAGTTGCCACTTACGACAAGCATGGGTTACTGAAGACCAATTCTAAACCGGATCTTCGCGGCTCTGTTCTGGGAAAACAAGTCTCACACGTTCACCCCCTTTGTAGAACGTACGTGAATGGCTTGTCCTTTCCTATTCTTTTGATTTGGTGGATTAAACGAAACAAGAAATGTGGAGCGTTGATATCCCTACAAGACGAATCACGTCAGACAATAGACCCCAGAACCATCTAAGTCTGAGTGAGTGAGGTTAGTTTTAAGCCGCTTTTAGCAATATTCCAGCCATATCACGGCAGGGGACACCAGAAATAGGCTTCACACATTGTACCCATGTAGGGAATCGAACCCGGGTGTTCAGCGTGACGAGCCAACGCTTTAACCACTCGGCTACCCCACGCCCTTTTATCATTTATCATTTACAAAGAGGGTGTGGTATGATTAACGTGGAAAGGATGCTTGGGTTGCAATGATCAACTGCTGGTTCAAAACTGATCTCCTAAAAAACACTTACCAACGTAACCTCCTTTCAGTGTTTGGAACAGACAGAAAAGCTATGATGCTGTACCTCAGGAATAGATTTTGAGTTCATCGGAATGAATTGGCCTTCCCCAGCGACTAATGAATGGATGGTCAACTGAACTTGTGATGCATTCAGGTATTGGCCTGAGGACACGTTTCTGGTAGAGGACGAATATTTCGGGGACCATTCTTTCAGTCGTTTTTCTGTTTGCCATTCAGTCATGCTAGCGATTGCTTAACATAGAGGGAGACTATCATCCTGTACGTCCTAAGCTGACATCCACAACACCTCTTACTCACCCAACTCACATGGATGACCTCTGATTCATTGCCAATAGAGACTCCAGAGTGAAAAACAGATTGTTCTTGTCAAGTCCTTTTCCAGTGACACTGGCATGTCCTTTGGGATATAAGAGCAGCATTCCTCATCCGTGACGTGGCAAGACAGAAGGGTGGAATCAGTCAGTTTTCAAGGGGAGGAGTTATTGACCATCTCGCAGGTCAGGCGTACACGTGGATAGGGATACAGGTTTGGAAACAAACTCCCAAATGCCCAGATATAGAACAACGTTCGGGTATTCTGTTGACTTATGGAGCTGAGGGCTGAACTCCCACAGAAAAGTGGAAGCAACAGATACTGAAACTCTGTCGTCGTCTCGTGCTGTTGTCGACAGGTGGACAAACCAAGAAATTCTGAGTATTGACATCCTTGATGTCATGTCAGACAATAGGTGCCACCATCCTCGCTCTTCCATGTATCGTTTTTATTTATCAATTATACGGGAGGGCGTGGTTTGTTTTACGTTCAAGCGCCTAATGACAACCTTTTGAAGGCATTTTTGATGATCCTCTGGTGAAGCATGTCAAAACACGATGAACACAAGACATTCCACATAGTGTTCGTTAAACAAGCCAAGATCGGTCACAATCTCAATGTTGATTTTGTTGATAGTTCTGTAGACGGTACAACAATGAGTGTCAACCAAGCGAAGCGCCATATCAAATCAACAGACGCTTACTTGTCATGGGAATGCTCTCTGAACGACCACAGTACTGAGAAATGTGCAGTGTATTGAGGAAAGGTGCAGTCTTTCGTTTGGATGAAGCCGGCTGTCCTGAAAAGTGAAAGTGAAGGCTTTCTGTTTGTTGCTTAGGACCAACCACTTCCCACGTGTTACTGACAGTCGGAGATACTGCAGCAAGACAGGAAATGATGATCATGTAATAAGTAGCACATTGTCATTGGAACATGTGCGTTGGCACAAACACGGTTTCTTTGGTGACATCAAGGCTCATGACCTTATCCGATCAATGGATATGGGGGACAATGCATTTTCTACTCCATTGGAGGTATACAGCGATATTAATGTCACTATTGCAGATGGTTAGTCGCGCGGAGGTATGGTGCTATTAAGGAAAAAACGCAAACCATTGCAAAATAACACAGCATACTGTCATTGTTTACGAAGCGTAGTGATTACGATGTCATAACAAACGCACACGACTATGAATGGATTGTATATATATTGTCTAATGAAGCGTAATTATGATATTTTATTGCTGAACCAACATAAGGCTTCCTGATCAAACTGAAGTAGCATGTACTTGACTAATATTGGTAGCGTCAACATGAGCGAAGAACAACGACATGCACCTGGATAACATTTGAGCCTTGTTACAACACACAAACACGTACCACATTTGTACTCCGTTATATCGCAAGGGAAGGTCTCTCGCTCTCTCGCTCTCTCGCTCTCTCTCACTCTCTCTCCCTGCCCCTCCCACAATCTCTGTCTCTCTCTCCCTCCCTTCCTCTCTCTCTCTCTCTATCTCTCTCACACACTGTCTCTCTCTCTGCACCGTCGTGTAAGAGGTATACTTAAAACAGTTATAACATACGATATACAAAACATTCCACAAGTATAACATTTGTATCGCTTTTTAAACGTACATATAACTTTCTATAAAAAACTCAATGAAGTTCGATCCACAAATTAAAATACGATAATACTAAGCCTATTCACCAAAACCATCCCGTTAGTCTCATCTTACGACAAGCATGTGTTGCTCAAGACCAATTCTTGTTCACAATGTCGTACCATATAGAGTATGGCTAACCATTGCGTGCTTGATATCTAGTTCCCAACCCTGAGGCCCCCCAGAATTCCCTTTTCCGGGTGTTCTAAAAAGTGAACCTCTCCACGACAACGTATTGTAACACACTATACTGGTCTTGACTTAACAAGCCTGGGATTCGAATCCACACAGGACAATATAACACGAACCACATTTACTCATGAACTACTCAGACACAAATGCATGGGAAAAGAACAGCTACAGCTTGGACAATTTTCGAGAGATTCCTGGGAAATGGAAACAAAATTGAGTTATCAGATATTTGATTTTTCATATTTCATCAAGTGAAACGATCCAAAGAGGTCCGATTCCGACTTCTTAATCGGACTTAGGGTTATATATTGTACACATATACACTACAAAACACGAGAAGCTGAAACATGCTTAACCAATAATTCATACGCTGTGCAAGATGCTCATTGTTGCTTTTTAATCAACATCTTCCGCATCAGTACTAAAACACTGTCGGAATTAAGAATAGCCACCAATTACAGGAAAGCCATACGTGTGTGAAATATGGGAAGCGCTTGACTTCAAACGCATGGAGCTCATATATACCCACCGGTATACGTTCATGTTTGTTGGTGATTATGTTGACTATAAAATGAAATAGGTTCCACGCATGCCAAGCATTTATGTCCAACAGCTGTGGGTAGATCAAGTTGAACAGACTCTTAAACGCATTCTCCGTGCATCGTAAAATCACCTTGGCGTGGTGCGTTGAGTATCGAAAGGTGAAGATTTTAAAAAGCTGTAGCTATTTCGTTTCGGGTTTCTTGGGGTGAAACTGCGTTCACACTAAAGTTCGCTTGCAAACTGATTTGTTAAAAATGATTTAGCAGTGTGTGTGTGTGTGTGTGTGTGTGTGTGTGTGTGTTTGTTTGTTAAGATCGTGAAGTCTGTATACCTGTGTGGAGACGTTGTTGATAAGTGTATAAATGTAATTTGGTACAGAAGAATGAAAAGTGTACTCACCGTCAGCGAATCTCCCAACTCCCCAATACAATCTTAATCACTTCGCTTGAACAAGATCACTCGCATCCAGGTCGACAAAGGTTCATGAGCTGACGTTTTCCCGCCAAAACCGATGTCGTCTGCTCAGTGCTAACAATCAGACGACACCCCAACACGCACGCATCTCCTCCGAGAAAACTGTAAATGATCAAGATGAACAACTATTAGTTCCACTCCTCACCTAGTTTATTTAATCGATGGAACTTAGAAGCAATGACTACCAAGCAACGTCGTCCTTGCTGCTGGCGAGAGAAACTGCCCGCCTCCTGTGCACGTGCCGTAATGTTTACCATGGATGGTTCTCGACACCTTAGGGGGTCAAGCCGAGGGTTATTAGGACACTAGGAAAGAAGATAACACGATATTGAATTCTAGCGAGTGCAGATTTAGAGGGTTGATAGTTATTACGTCTGTTGACAGGAGAGGATTCACGGAGCGGGTTTCCGTTTGACAAAGGCTCAGGAGACGGGGAGACCTGAATCATATAGAAATGACGCCAGAATGGAGAGCATCCGTCACGCTAGGAATACAAACGTCGACGGCTATTTTAGATCCTTCTGGACTACCAATGTCATTGAATATTCTGAAGCGTGGCTCTCAGACAATCACTTCAGTGATTTTTGTGAAAAATACAAACACGGGCTCAAACGTGAGATTTCTTTGTAAATGCCACGGTGGCAGGAAACGCAGAGGAATAGAAGAAGTTAATGTGTTACAAATGGTAAATATAGATTAAAATGCCATTTTACAAGACACGATATTAAACACAACCCCTTGAGAGCACATAAAGGTCACATTTATTCAACGTTATGTCAACTCAACGATTTCCATTTTGCGATTTGCAATTTATGTTCTTATTCAGCTTAAAGATTTGGTTTGGTTGTTTTTTAACGCCGCAGTCAGCAATATTCCAGCAATATGACGGCGGTCGGTAAATAATCAAGTCTGGCCTAGACAACCCAGTGATCAACAGCATGAGCATCAATCTAAATTGTCAGTTGAAAGAAGTTGGGGTAGAGTTGTGGATAAAGCGTTTGCTCGTCAGGCTGACGGCTCTCGTTCGATTCCCCATATGGTACAATCGTGTGAAGCCCATTTCTGGTGTCCCCCGTCGTGATATTGCTGGAATATTTCTAAAAGGGGAATGAAACCATACACCATACTCTACAAGCCATGATCTCTTCATGCATTTTAAAGGTTCGTCAAGGGAGAATGTATTTGATCTTCGGTACCCAGAAACATCTCTCATAAACTACACATGCCATGTTAATCCTGACAAGTCCCTGTGAGCGATTTACAGATTCAGAACAATGTCCCTTTACCCAATTACATATAAGCGATGGAGACAAACCAAGGTTCTCGTATTCGGAAATAACATTAGCGGATCCTGACAGCAAGGGGAGGCAATCCTGCATAACACGTTACAGTTGGGAACGTGAGTACTTGCCTGCAACGTCTCGTTACATGTTCCCGTGTAACGGACTACGACAGTTGTGTGCCATTAAGGTTAAGTGATGGCATTCTCAGTTTCTAAAGCAATTGATTCCAGTCCATACTGTGTTTACAAACGCGTATTTCAGGCAGTAGGTGACATTAAATACCTACTTGAATATGACTTTTTTGCAACGTTCCAGACATATCCCCGTGGGGTACTACAAGCGATAGAACATTGTGTCCTTGCGTGGGAACAAACTGGAGGCTGAGAGAGTTGAAAGTGGCAAGTGGACGCGTCGCATCCACCACCAGCTTACACGATCCACACCCACCCACACCCACCGCACTCACACAGACCCTCTCTCTTATATCAACTACAGCGTTTAGTCAGAGTACAACTGTATTAAGTATATAACAAGAACACTAACAACACACAATAGTTCGTTCATAGTGTCCATCTGTCATGATTACAATAATAATACAATTGGTGGTGGTGATGATGATGATGATGATGATGATGATGATGATGATGATGACGACAACGACGACGGGGAGAAGGATTTCCATAATGATAAGAAATCTCAACGAAAACCAGGCTCTATTTTACGACTCCAACTTCAACTGAACATGTGTTCAAGAATCTCCCATATGCAATAACGTTTTAAAAAAATCTCAGAGCTGAAAGGCACTGCTACCTGTCCATCAATCAGAACATTGCCGCGATATCGCCACAGGAAAAAAATCCCAGAAATAGAAACAGAATTACGTTTAGAAAGAAAAAAAAAATTATTTGAGATATATTACTTCTCATATGTCACCCTGAGAGCACGTCAGATGGTGCACAATGAGGTCCAAAACATTTTATTGTTATAAAAGAGCTTTAAAGAGTATTACGAGGCGGTGTAAACGGACGAATTTCATGGTCAACGCTGTAGGTGGTATGCTTAATGCTAGCTGGATTACCATTGCAGCTGTAGAGCACTTCTGGATGAAGACGGTGATGAATAGGTGAAATTGATTTCTTTACCATTGGATGTTTTTTTCATCCAAACAGATTTCATTTTGGTAACTGGAACAACGGCCTTGTTTTAATACATCCTTTTTTAGCCTTCGCTAAATCAATTTCCGTACAGTGCCATGCATTATTCGGTATTTGTTACATTAATCACATTTAGCTCACACAGGAGGAGCAGGTCAAGCATCTGGACCAACTCTTCTTGGTTGTTTAGTGCAGTTTTGAATGTTTTGTCTTGCTACAGAAATACACATTCAAAGTATCAGAAATGTAATGATCGATTGAAATGTTTGAAAGATTACAGAGTAGTTTGAGCACTTAAGCAGATATTTATAAACACATTTATATATCTTGTAGTATCATCGCTATTGCGAACGTTTATAAATGTCAGCTTTACTTTCATCATTATTGCCGATGATTGTAATATCATCTTGTAGTCTCAACATTATTGTTTATGTTTCCAAACATTCTTTTTCAGTCTAATCATTTGCGCTAATGTTTGAAAATACCTTCCTGATTATCAGTTGTGCCATTTTTTAAAAACAGTCATTAATTCAAAAGAACATATTTTTGGCAGTGTTTGTCATAATTGTACCAGACAGACCATTTGCTTTGCAGTGAGTGAGTTTAGCTTTACGCCGCTTTTAGCAATATTCCAGAAATATCACTGCGGGGGGACATCAAAAATGGGCTTGACATATTGTACTGATGTGGGGAATCGAACCCGGGTCTTCGGCGTGACAATTGGACGCTTTAACCACTAGGCTACCCCACCGTCGCCATTTGTTTTTGTAAACAACCCTTATAACAAATATATAATTACTGACAATGTTTGTAAACAGTGAGTGAGTGAGTTAAGTTTTACGCCGATTTTAGCAATATTCCAGCAATATCAAGGCGGGGGACACCAGGAATGGGCTTAACACATTGCACCCATGTGGGGAATCGAACCCGGGTCTTCGGCGTGACGAGCCAACGCTTTAACCACTAGGCTACCCCACCGCCCCGTTTGTAAACAACTCTTATATACAACGATTCACTATTGTCCATATGTGTACGTATCATCTAGTCGCCTGATCATTGTTGAAGATATTTGTAAATATTTTCTGGTCTCAACGTTATTGTTAGGTTTGCACACATTCCTTTTTTAAGTGAAATCATTTGCGCCAAAGTTTGTAAATACTTTTCTTCACTCTTTCCGATGACGTGCATGTCAATGATATGATGCATGGTTATATTGATTACAGGTGAAAATTTCGCAGCCCCCTTCGTTGTATTTGTCAAAACACGTGTGGCTGAATGGATATGGTTTTACGCCGTTTTTACCACTAATTCAGCCACATGGGACGGAGAATACCCATCATCATAAGTGAGTGAGTGAGTTTTGTTTTACGCCGCTTTTAACAATATTCCAGCAATATCACGGCGGGGGGACACCAGAAATGGACTTAACACATTGTGCCCATGTGGGGAATCGAACCCGGGTTTCTGGCGTGACGAGCGAACGCCTTAACCACTAGGCTACCCAACCGCCCCCCATCATCATAAGACCCATGCAGAGACAAGACTGTCACTCTGTTGTAGAAGTGCAGTGTGACATGCAAGTAAACCATGTTTAAAGCACTTGTACACCGAGGATACCTATTCGTATCATTATATCACAGCACAAGCTGTACTGACTGACTGACTGACTGAGTTTGGTTTTACGCCGCTTTTAGCAATATTCCAACAACATCACGGCGGGGGACACCAGAAATGGGCTTCACACATTGTGCCCATGTGGGGATTCGAACCCGGGTCTTCGGCGTGACGAGCCAACGCTTTAACCATTAGGCTACCCCACCGCCCCAGCACAAGCTGTAACAGTATATACCCACCAAAGTAATGGCAGCAACCATAATCGGATTCGAACAGCAACTCGCCAACAACGTGCCCAGTCCCAAACCCTCAACCACGAGAACATTCCGTCTAATCCATTCAAGTCAAACTACAATCCCCTCAAAGAAAGGGAAAATTATACGGACACAGATATGTCAGCTGACCATGAGCATGAATTGTGGCTTGAATTGATTCAACGTGAACAGCATTGAGCTAATTCATATTAAATATCACCAAATGACACCCACATCATGGATCATCGTTGACGACTGATTCCGTTTTGTAAATGAATCTGGGAACTTACCCTGTTTTTGAACCATTTTTTTCAAGAATCATTTTGTATATTGACAATTACGTTAAGAGCATTTCGAATTTAAAGCATATCAAATTCCTTTTTACCATGATCAAATTTGACGTGCAGCCGAAGTGGATGCGACAAGGCTGCTTTCTGGGTCCGATTCGTTTTATATAATGTTCAGATCAGAACAAAATTCACAGCACATTGGGATTTGCTCTTGTAGGGACATTCGTGCAACGCAACGTCGCTCAAATAATGAAATTCGATTTGAATCGGAGGATATTGTGTTATTACGTTACGAATTGACGAATCAGGCGAACGGGAGATATTTGCAGCTCAGCTCCGTTTCCCCGCTAACAAGTTCCAATCACATTACAGGTAGCGGAAACTTGGATAAGTGCAATGTCGGCCCATCACGCCACCATTGTACCGCTTGAGCCCTTCTTCTGAAACGGGGGACTTGTGACCAGCACGGAAGGAATCAAATTTGTCAGATATTCCAGCGGCAGCTTT